AGTCATGCCAGTCTCAAGGGAGGGGTTCGAGTATGAACCAGGAGAGAAGGCAGGTGTAGGTCGTCACCTAGACCCTCACTTCTCTAGGGCAATGGCCCGGAGCCTGAAGGAACCTAGCACTAGGCTTTAGCAGGGGTCCTGGACCTGGAAGGAGGAAGATTAAGAGAGGTAGGTGAGAGGAGGGGAGAGAGAGAGAGAGAGACCAAGAAAGAAGAATGGGAACTTAGCCTCCGGGGATGGGGGAATGAGGTCAGGGTGACAGTTTAAATAATCTACAAGCCTGGCCAATAAGTAAAGGGGGCTTACCTAATGGATGAGCCAGTGGTGGGTGAAGGAAGCCAGCGCCAGAGAAAATAGACGAGGGCGGACCGTCAGTCCTGGGGGGTCGTGGAGGAGTCCGAGGAAGGAGTCCCCTGGCGTGGGGTGAACTCCTTCCTGGGTTTCGGCACCAATGAAGGAGGCACGGATGAAGGAGGCACACGAGACCTGGGCTGACAGTTCACCAGAGAAGTTCAGCTTTATTCAAGGACTGCGCATATATTTATAGGGAGCTGCGTTCCGGGTTTGGATAGGGGGTGGACGGGGCGGTAGCTGATTGGACGGGGCTGGGCGGGAGGTGAGCCTTGACCTGTGACTGGTTGAGGTTTGGCGCCGGCAGGCTTGGGTTTTGGCACCAGCGGGCTTGTTTACTGCAGAGAAGAACCCGGAAGGGCACCATATTGCCAGGGAGTGCCCCCCACTTGAGTGCCTATGGTATCCCTACAGTTTCCCCTACCCCCTTGTGTTCTGTACCCAAAGCCTGTGAATTAAACTGACAAAAGATAGATTAACAGAAGAAAGGCATATCAATTTTATCTGACGTTAATATTCTTACTGTTCATGGGGGCTTCACAGAAAAGAAGTGTAAAACCAGAGAAGTGGTTAGATTTGGGGTTTATATACCATCTTAACAAAGGATGATCAATTGTGGAGAAATTACTAGATAAAAGAAAGGGGGTGTGGGCTTGTAGGAATGGTAAATCGTGTGAATGTAAATATTTAGGGGAAACTAATGGTAGATAAGGGTTTTCATCTAGATGCTGTCTCCACCTCGGTGATAAGGGTTGTTTTCCACTTCCTGGAATGGTAGAAGAGGGAGCACACATTCACAAGGGGAATTTACATCCTATTTTTAGGCAGATAAGGGAAGGTCAGAGAGCTCTTCTGCATCAGCTTTTTCTCAGTTGCCTCCAGCTTAAAGTAATCCTTATGATAAAATGGCATATTGTGGGATGATGTATTCTGATACTTTTCAACTCACAAATTTGTATTCCAGCCTGGACCTCTCCTCTGAACTCTACTTCTCATATAGCCAGCTGTGTATTCCTCATCTCCACTTGGATGTCCATTAGGCTTCTCAATATTAGCACACCAAAAGCCAAATTCATATTCTTCCCATGCCAAACCTTTTCCACCCTTACCATTCCCATTTTAGTAAGCTGCAATTCCATTTGTGCAGCTGGTCAAACCAAAAATCTTGAAAGTATCCTTGACTCCTCTCTTTCCCTTATATTCAGAATCCCACTGACTCTACCTTCAAAATACATCCAGAATCCAAGCCCTTCCCAAGTGTATGGTGACTACCAAGTGTAAACCACCATCATCTCTCACTTGTTTGCTATAATAACATACCAACTGAACCTCCCCCACCTTCTATCTGTGCACCTCCTCCCACAGTCTATTCCTAGCACAAAATAAGAATTCTTTCCAAATAGAAATCATCATGTCACTCCTATGCCCCATTCCAGCTTGATACATCCTCTGATAGCCCCCATTTTACTCAGAGTGAAAGCCAAAGTCATTACAATGCTCTATAAAACCCTATGCAATTTAGCCCCGTTTTCTTTCTGACTTTATTCTCTGCTTCCTCCCTCTTTTGAATATGCTGCAGCCACTGACCTCCTTACTGTTCCTCAAACACACCCTGCACTTTCATACTTGTAGACTTGTGTAAGTGCTGTTTATCTACCTGAAGTAAGTACAATTCCCTACCCATTGGGTTTACTTCCTCTACTCCTTCATGGTTTTTTGTTTTTGTTTTTGGTCAAAGACAATCCCCTCAAAGAGGACTGCCCTGACTATTTAAATTACAATTACATCCTCCTTCCCTCTTCCAGCAGTACCTTTATCCTGCTTTGTTTCTCTCCTAAACCTTTTAAAATACTATATGATTTGCCCCCTGTATTTTATTGTCTGTTCTTTTCCACTTAAAGTATATGCTCCATGAGAACAGGGATGTTTGCCTCTTGATCACCAGTATATTCCCAGTGCCTAGAACAAGGACTGGCACATAGTAAGCCTTCAATAAACAATTATTTGTTGAATGAATAAATATAACTCTCCTCTTTTTCTCAGAAACCTCCAGGAAAGACTCCTGGAACTACTAGTCTTGCTTTGGCAAAAGAAAGGAAGAAGGGCAGTGCTCCTCATTTGGGAGAGAAATAACAATCAAATGATATGAGTGAGACTGCAAATTTAAAGGGAAATCAGAGCAAGGAGTGACTAGGAGAAACTTCCCACTACCACCATCAAAGATATAGATGGGGTGCAGAGAAGAGAGTTTGAGCTATTTTTATATAAATATTAAGTGGAAAGGGAAACCAGGATTTTGACACATAGGTCAAATATGCAAACATTAGCCATCATTCATACTGCTACACACAGTGGGAGTCATAGGAGAGTTTTGAACAAGTAGAAGACTGTCTGGAGTGTAGAGAGGGCAGAGTTGAAGAGAACAATTAGGAGGCTGTTAATAGTTCACATACATAATGATAAAGACATGATCAAGGCAATAGCAGTAGGAATGATGAAGAATGGAAGAATTCCAAACCTCTCAGTTGTAGAACCAATAGGATTGGTGACTGACTAAGGCAGAAAGGCGTGTTTGGGACACCTCCAAGGTTTCTAGGATGAGTAACTGAGTGAACAATAATGCAGTTATCAGAGTTTAAAAATATAGGAAAAGGGGCAGCTTTTGCTGGGAAAATGGTGATTTCTAGTTAGACATCCAGCGTAGCTATCCAGAAAAAAGCCAGAAATAAGTATTTATGCAATATTTTGGAATTTAGCTATAAACATGAATGAGAGTCCCCATAATGCACAAAGAGAAGAGAAGGGAAGAAGCTGAGCATGTATGCATCGTGGCCTGGAACATTTGACAGCTGGGTAAATGTAGAGAAGCCAAAGAGAAATCAGAAGGAGGAAACTAATACCATAAATGCAAAAGAAGAAGTCAAGAAATGAAACGGTCAATATTGACGAATGCTGAGTAAGACGCTAGTGAAAAGAAGGTACTGGATTTGACAAAAGAATTATTAGTGGATGGTGGAGGTGGAAACCAAATTGATATAGTCATTTTTATAATGGCAGTGAGACCATGGGGAAAGTAAATTAAAGCTCTTCTGAAGAAGTAATACGGCAGTAACTTGAGAGGAAGCCATTGTCCACAAAGAATTTTCATTCTCTATCACAGTCCTAGCCTAACATTTTGCATCTAGTAGGCATTCAATATCTATTAAGTGCAATAATATTTTCATTTGTTGACCAGCGCTCCTGTGAAAATATTGCACATTTAATTGCTATTAGGTTAGATATGTAATTTGGGAAACTTGAACATTTAAATGGTATAATAAAATGCTTACAACATAACATTAAAAGAAAAAAGTAGGCTACCATATTGCATATGGTTTCAATTTTGGGAACGAGAAAATATAGAAATACAAACAGGCACATGCATACACAACGTAGGAATAAATACTAGAAGAAAACAAACTAAAATTCACAGATCTCTGAGTGGTAGAATTAAGAATTTTTTTCTTCATCTTTTCTGTATTTTCCCAGAGTTCTACAATTAAAACTGCTTTAAAATCTCCATAAAGTCATGTGAATTTCTATCTAAGCACTTACTAGCAATTTATGCCCTCTTCTCTTTGGTCTAAAATAACAACATTTTAGGGGCCGGCCCAGTGGCGCACTGCTACAGTGTGCCGCTTGGGAACCGCGGTGACGCTCCCGCTGAGGGTTCGGATCCCACATACAGACCTGCCGCTCACTGGCTGAGCGAGGAGCGGGGGCAACACCGAGAGTTGCGATTCCGTTGCCGGGTCGGTTAGGGCGCGACACTGAGGGTTGCGATCTGTTGCCGGTCATGAAAAAGGACAAAAAGACAAAAAAATAATAATAATAATAACAATATTTTATTTTAGAGGTGGCTCTAAAATAACAAGAGTTATAATAGTAATTCACCAGACTTTATTTTAGAGGTGGCTCTAAAATAACAAGAGTTATAATAGTAATTCACCAGACTTAAAGTAGCCTGCAGATTTTTCATTCCCAACTTCTCAGAATCCTTCTCCTATTCATCTTAATTATACTTCCCTGGGTTTTCTCTGACTCCCGGATTCTAAGGGTGAGTCTTGAGAAGCAACGTGTTAAATGGAAGGGAGAAGCCAAAGTTTGTTTTGGATGAGCTGTACTACCCCGTCCATGGTAAGGGCAAAAATAATTGGCTCAGGTCTAGGCTCTGCCATCTACCACCTGCGGGGGCTTAGATAAGTCAGTTCATGTCTCTGCCCCTCAATTTCTCATCTTTTAAATGGAATTTCAGGAAATATAAATGGCGTGAGATAGGGCTTGTTGGGAATAGGACAGGAATTGCCACAGGCAAAGACTTCTAGGATCTGGTAGGTCTCGGTCAACTCCTCTGTGAAAGGTCCCACCCCAAACGCACTGAATCTGACTCTGAGGGGTGGGGCCCGGGAATCTGTATTTCAGCAGCTTCCTAGCGCAGACAGATGCTCGGTCAGGTTTGAGACCTGAGGACTCTTCCCAGCGCTCCTATTCTCTGACTCACTTCTCAACCCTGGTCCTCGCGATTCTCCAGTTCCCTCAACAACAGGAGCGGAGGACACAGGACCGAGCCGGCGCCGGTAAGGCCCGCAGGCGCGCGGGGCTGCCGGCCGCCCTCCTTCCCGGGCGCCCCCCTGCGTGTTACATAACGGGTCGCGGGGCGCGCTCTCGCGAGGTTTCCACCCCCCTCCTCGTTCCACGTCAGAAGGAACCGGGCGGAGCGGCCAACATGGCGGAACGCAGGCGACACAAGAAGCGGATCCAGGTAGCGAAGCTGAGCCCTGGGGTAGGGGGCTTCAGCGCGCTCGGAAGTGGGAAAAGCCCCCTGAAAGGGCGGGCGAGGGCGAGGGCGAGACGGGGTGGGGTTCCGTCGCGAGGCCGCCGGCTGCAGGCTGCGTCGTTGTGAGGGGCCGGAGGGGGGGCGGCGTTGGCGACGGCGGCGACGGCGACGACAGAGAGGGAGGTGGTGGCGGAGCCGCAGGGGGAGGAAGGAGGCGCCGAACTCGGAATCCGGCCGCGGAGGCGCGGCTGCCGACCCTGAGCCCCTGGGGCCGCGTCGGCCAGGGCCTGCTTTGGCAGGTCGGCCTCCTCCCGATCTCAGACACTGACCCTGGGGCTCCTCCCCTCCCTCCACCCCATCCTCTCGCCTTAGCTATCCCGAAATTAAGGCCACGGCTAGTGAGGTAGAAGTAGGCGGACGACTGACCTAAAGCAGCAGGTTCTTTGTGCGCATAGACCGTGGGAGGGGGAATGATCTGGATTTGGTCAGCTGCCCCGGAGGACAGGCGGCGATCTGCTTATCCAGATGTTCATTGCGTTTGCCCTCCTTTCTCTTAATATTATTAACTTAATAATCCACTTGAAGCTTGCCGGCTTTCTTCCAGGCGACGCGGTGTAAACAAACACAACCCTGTTGGTGCTGCAATGAGCTGGTGGCGCCCAGAAACCTCACATACCAGTGTGTCATCCTCATAACCTACATCCCTCCCGCATTCCAAATGCGTGTCATGTGTGCATTTCTTCCCTGCAGTTTTCCTCCGTTCTCGGTCTTTGCCAAGAGGATTACATATGTCTAATATTTTAAACTCAGGATGTTTATTAGTTGTTGTCTCATCAGCTCCTATGCTGAGAAACCTTCATAAGGCATCATAAATTGATAGCATGTAGTAAATTATTAATACACCAGTCACAAATTGTTTCACTCGTCATTGTCTTTCTGTTCCTTACTATTTCATTGCTTAGAATGACTTTTTCTATCTTCTGTTTTATCCCTCCAGTTAAAAAAATTTATTGGCCTACCACAGCTGTTTTGAACTATACAAGTTAAAATTCTCCTGAAAACTTTTAAGCACTATGAAAAAGATATCAGTGACCAGTAAATTTGGAATTTTAGAATTTGGCAGAAATTCTAAAGTAGTTCCAAACAGAAGGGAATTAGAGGCAAATTCCAAGTTCAGACAGGTCATAAAACCAGGGCCTAAGAGCGCTAGAAATTGTTTCCAATTATACTATTCCTAATCTTTCAAGATTTGGTGTTATTGGTCCGACACGGATATACTATTTTATTCGAATTTGTATTGAAGTTATCTGTCTGATTTGTACTTACTGAACTCCTGATATTTATACATGACAGTACAATTTTGTGTTCATTAATACACATTGTTTTACAATTTTAACTGCTGTTTAATATTGCTGTAAAGGTGATATAATTCGCCTTTTGAATAGCTGCTATTTCAGTTTCAGTCTTACATTAAACAGAAAGATAGGTAAAGAGGCTGTGTAGTACTATAGTGGTAGGAGCTGAAAGCTAAAACATGAGCCAGACTGTGCTTGTTTGTACTCCAGCTCCACCAATTATTAGCTGAGTAACTTCGAGCAGGTTTTTACCCCAATTTCTGTATCTGTAAGAAGGGATATTTACCTGAAAACGAAACAAACAAATAAAAAAACACAAAGCCTCATAGGGCTGTAAGATTGCTGTGAAAACAATAGGTGAGTCAGTGTCTTAATAAAGGTTGTAAAAGTTATTAAAAGTGCTTGGCATATAACCTCTCCCTTCTCTACCCCCTCCCCCAGGATGAAGGGTTTAGGTTGTATTGTTATTTTTGGTTTTTGTTAAGCACTCTGATATGTTGAAGAAGATTAATACCTATCTAGTCAGTAAATAAACCATTAGGTCGTGAGTTATCTAAAGTATAGTTATTTACTTTCTATTATTTATTTGATTGTTAAAAATCAGCTTGGAATACTGAAAAATGAAATAAATGACATTTATTTTCCTGTCATCAAAGTTTTTTACATAGCTGTGTAGAAATGTTTGTGGGAGATCTTGGAGTACTAGTTTTATGCAGTCTAACAAATTTAGAAAAATACACTATCCTAGAAAATCCCTTGGTTTTTTTCCTCCCAGAGAAACAGAAACTATAATATTGAGATAAAAAGATCAAGTGTAATGGCAAAGTTTAGAGTTTACATTCTAGAAAAGATTCTATTGTAGGACTTTCAGGCAAAAACGTCTGCAATATCAGCTGAGTTTCCTGTCGTTTATTTGATGGTTCATGTTTAGAAAATATTTTTATGTTTAACAGATTCAGACTTTGAATTTTAATTTGTACATTGGGGAGAAATGTTTGCTACAAACAAATAAGTTCATGTTAAAAAAAAAAAAGTAGCTAATTCATTTGCTTTTTCTAGTGCAGCATAATTTCAGATTCTGGTGTCCCATCAAAGCTGGAGGCAAGAGAACTATTGTCACCTTTCCTTCTTGGGCTCACATTACTGGTCACTGAAAACCGGAAGCAAGCTACATACAGTTCATTGACATTATATTGTAAAATTTTAATGTTTGAGATTCTCAAACGAGAGTGATCTCAATCCAAATTAATGAAATATTTGAAAATAAAGTATTTAAGAAATGCAATTATATAAGTTTTTGAGGACATACAGTAACTTCATATTAACAAAGTGCTGCTTATTAGACACATTGATTTAGAATCCTGGTATCATAAAATTTTAGAGTTGAAAAGGATCTAGTAAGGTTTGTTTGTTTGGAATCTTTTTTCACAAATTCAGTCTTATTTAAAAGCAGAGTGGTGGACCCAAAGCTTACTGATCTTACCTAGCACTCTCATTTTACAAGTAAACTGAAGTCCACTGAGGTTTTGTGACTTGACCCAGGATCACTCAACAAGGTAGTAGAACCCAATTTGGACCAGGTCTTCTAATTCCCAATTGAATATTCTTTCCCCTCAACATTTATAAAAATAAGTTGTTCTGAAATACTTTAATCCTGAATTTTTTATATTAAATTGTCCAACATATAGGCTTAACATGATTTGTCCCTGCTAAAGAGAATCATCCCATTTAGTATTCTGCTTATGTGTAAAATATCCAGTTGAGTTTTGGGACATTTAAATGGCTTACTAGTTTTAGAACTTTTATAACCATCAGCTATTTTTGTTGCACCCATCTGTCTCCTTGGCAATAAAACCCTGACATATTATGAGCTTATGTGCCTAATTTCAGGAAAGGGAAGAAAATAGAGTTAGGGACTCTACAACCTTTACAGGTCTGACTCTCAGGACCTTCTGAAGTAAAGAGAAGGAACCTGGGAAGCCAATCCTAATTCTGAAAACTACCCCCCAAGGCTTAATGGAAGGCTTTGCAGTTACCTAGCAAACCCATTGCTAAAGAGGGGATACAATAGAAGTGAATTGGAGGTATTACAGAAGGGAACTGCCGTACTCAAGATGCAGACTCCTGTAAAGCTTTATTAGTAACACACTGTGTTACTTTGAGCAAATGATTTGTCTAAGGTCCTTTCCAACTCTGATATTTTATGGTTAACCTACTATTTGCATTTTCACAAATATTTTTTATACAGCTTGTATAAAGATACAAATTCACAGTTTGTGAAGTAAACCTTTTCCTCTTTTACTCAATTCACTATTGACAGATCAACTAAGCTTATTTCTATTGGCTATAGTAATTTTTAAAAATTCTCCTATATCAGAAATTCTGCAAAATTGAGATCCATGCCTGGCCTACTCTTGATCTATTTTTTTTCTCAAAAAGGTTAAGTATTGTCTAAAATAATAGAAATGGTAACTTCTGTTTCATCATAGTATTTGAGTGCTGATGCATTCTAAAGTAAGAATAGTATTTGTTAATTTTGTGAGAGTGTTCTAACCAAACTTATAATTTAAAAAATTTTGGATGTGAATTGCGATAGCCAGTTATTGATATTTGTGTGCAAAGAAAGGCAATCCAGCCTAAGTTTACTGGTTTTTAGCTTCCTCATTCTAAGACACTTGTGTTCATTCATTGAACTAAAAATGTTCTCTACATTTGGTTGAGGATTGATAGGTTGTTTCTCTTTATTAGTGGGTGCTACTATTCCCCAAAGGCCTTCTTGTTAGAAGTCTTCTAGAAAAGTTATGAAAATATTCTGTTCACATCAGTAGGAAACAGAGAGGAAGGTACTATAGTCCAGTGTATATACAAAATGGTAAGACTGTTTTATACTCTCTTTAGCTGTAGTAAGGGAGCAGTAAGAGTGAAGACTCCATTCAGGATGTCCTGTATAACCAACTTCCCATGGTCTCATTCTCATGTTACTCTTCTTCAGCTATCTTTCTTTATGGCTCCATATTATATGCCCCAACAGATGGCACAAATTATATTATTTTCATTAAAGGCAGTCTACACTATAGATAACTTAATATAAGTTACTGATACTTTAAGAACGTATCAATGGACAAGTAATTCTGTGTCTCATTGGCAGAGATTATCCAAATCCATGTTTTCTGTGTCTCTTCTGGTCATTGTTGCTTAGTAGTAACTTTACCAAGGAGGGGATACAGTTGTAGAAAAGTTTGGTGAACTTGAAGTTAGTTAATTGTTAAAATGAGACTTAAAAATTTGTGGATACATATAGTATCAGATTCCCTACTGGGTAATATAGAATCAGCTTTTCAGTTTTTTATGTATCCTAATATTTAATCAGATTTTATATGTGATGCCTCTATCAGCATTCAGTAGATTAGTACCTTTGTGTCAGTAAATGGTTTAATTGAGTGTTAGTATGAGTGTAGATGTGTTATGCCTAAAATTGATATGATTGTTCTCTAGAATCACCTTCCTCCCAAATTTCCTTTCTGTTATGGAAAACCGTCCTTTCCATTGATCAGATTAGAAATCTGACATCTTTACCTAGCTGTTTCATTTGTCCTTTATCATTGAGGCTTATCTGTTCTACATGTAAAATGTTCAAGTATCTACATTTTCTTCCCATTCCTAGTTAAGTATCACATCACAATTTACTTGAATACCGCAGTAGTCTTCTAACTAGTTTCCCTACCTTATGCATTTTTTTTCCCAATTCATTGGACACTCAGCCACCAAAATAATGTCTAAATCATTTTTCTAATGTCCTTCTATTTGAAAGCTGCTAGTGGGCTTTCTTCTACTTAACACGGCAAAGTCAAAATTCTCAGCCTGCCTTGAAGACTCTTTAGTCTATTATACTTATACACATTTAATCTCCTGGTGCTTCCTAACTTGTTTCTACTGGAGCCAAACTTTGTGCTCCTTCTCAGCCACAATGTTCATGCTCTTCATTCAGTTTACATGAAACTTGTTCATCTTTCAAAATCTAGCTCTTCTAAGAGGTGTTTTCTAGCTGTTCCCATCCACATTGATGATCTCACTCCTACTTTGTGTATTTCTAAAATGTTTTTTCTACCACTCCTTTTGGAAAATAACAGTTGCTGCTTTTGATAGTTATGTAACAAAGTATAGGCATCATGCCTTACAAATCTTTGGTATTTACTGTAACATCCAAAGATTATAAACAAGCAGTAAGTATGTATTTGATTAAACGGTTTACGTTTATTCAGATTTCTCCCCACAATTTTTAATCAAGCATATTCAAGTAACAAGTTATCAGTTAATTAGAAAACTTTTAGTTGACCACAGATGTTTCAAAAATGAAGGAAAAAATGATCACATATGGTGTAATTATAAAATAGAATTGATTTTTATGAATGATTTATAGTATTATTTTCAACTATTTATACTTTTTTAGGTGTATGCATATATAGAATATTATTTACTAATAGATGAGGCTCCCAGAAGTATAGTGTGTATTACACAAACATAATTGAGTACTGTCATTTAACATATATCATACCAACATATATCAATATATTTTATCATGGTTTTAAAATTTTTAATAAGGAATTTTCACCTTTTATTATGTCAGAAAGTATATTTTGTAGCTAGGCCTTAATTAAATCATTATGAATCTTGTAGATGTTAGTGAACTTGGAGTGTTAAATTTTGAATTTGCAATTTTTTAAGATTCTATTTTTCTGTGATACATATTTTAATGTTTTAAAATAAAAGTTTTTATTTCACAAATATCTGGTTTTTACAGTAGTCTTCATTTGGGTTAAGTTGTTTGTGCTTTTAAAGGGAATAAAAGGAAGGTGGGAAATGATAAACAATGAAGAAAGTAATACAAAGTTTGGGAAAAGTATGGAAGAAAGAAAACAGGGAAAGATTAAAGCAGCCTTTCCAAAACTACTCTGTCAGTATACTTCCATTAATCAGTTCTTCAGATGAGATAGTAATTTCTCTGTTGCATTTTTTTACTTTTGCCTTACTTTTTACTGGGGAAGAGAAGACAACAAGATGATAAAGGAGTCTTAGACAATATCTGGTATTTGCAACCAGAAGGCAAAGGGGAAGGGAATACAAATCATCAGCATCTCAGTAGTTCTTAAGGCTCATTGGGGCAGCTATCATTGGTTAATTTGAGAACTCAGTGTGTTGTCCATTGCTCAAGGGACATATCTATGGCTGTTGTTATTTTAACATTTGTTTATGACACCTGTTTCTACTTTGACATTTGGGTCTTCACTATTGGCAACATCTTATCTTTTTAGTTACTGCTTTGTGCCTTATAAAAAGAGACCATACAAGAGTGAAGGTACACTGGTACAAAGTAGGTAAACATACTGGAAAAACAGCTCAAATGACTTATAGTTGAGGCCAAGAAGCAGACAGATTTTGGCCCTATCAACTTGTGTTTGAAAAACAGAACTTTTGTATGTACACTACCAGGTCTGCTGCAGAGAAAGCTTAAAAGCAAGGCCTATATTTCACTTGAAAAGATTCATAGAACAGATCTGTAAATTATTCTTCAATGCATGAATTTCTCAAGTGAACAATTACACTAAATTAATATTCTTGCGTTGCAGGAAGTTGGTGAACCATCTAAAGAAGAGAAGGCTGTAGCTAAGTATCTTCGATTCAACTGTCCAACAAAGTCCACAAATATGATGGGTCACCGGGTTGATTATTTTATCGGTAGGATTACATCAGTAAAATCATATTAGTGTTCGTATCTTACGAAGTTACCTAAATTTGGGATATGTAAAAATTTTGAGTGTTTTCCAAGTATGATTGTTGAAGCTGGGTGATGGGCATATGGTAGTTGATTATCCTATTATTTCCTTTTATAATTGAAAATGTGCGTAATCAAAAGATTAAAGAAAATGCTTTCTAATAACATTTGTTGGAAATTTTTTAAACAGGATTTGTTTTCAGTGTTTAAAAATACTGCCTTTTAATCAGACAGTATATATACTCAGAACTAGGGGCTTTGGTTCTTCACATTATCCAAACAATCTGTTTATATGCTGATGTCATCTATAATAGCATATAAATAGAGGTTGAATTTGCCTATCTCTTCAATTAAAATTGAATTGCCATTGTAGAGAAGAAATTCCTTTATATCCCTTTCTTTAGTGTTATTAATGATTTTGACATTCATTAAAAGTTTAGGAAAAAATAGCCATGCCAGTCTAATCTCTTCTGATTGAATATATTTAGCTGCTTCTAGTGACAACAATAGATTGTTTACACAACTTATTCCTCAGTGGTTTACAATAAAACTCGATGAGAATTTCCATCAAGTTTTGGTTTATGTATCCTACATCTGATTGTGATTATTTGATAAGGGTGATAGTTACATATGAATATTTTGAATTTCTTTTGTTGAGAACATTTTTTCCATAAATTTATCTTGCTTTAATTAGTATTACTGAGTGCCATTTATTTCCCAGCATGACTAAAAAAGGCTTATCAATATGTTTCACAAGTTGATGTTTTGAGGAACTGTTATCATGATCATGTTAGATTTAATTTTCTGTTGAGCTTGGTTTTCTTTTCTGTTACCAGAATATTGAAATTTGCTTTATAAATTTGCTTTATATTATTTAGATAGACATAAATTCCCATGTATACTAAATTTAAAATAATAATTTTCTTCTTTAGCTTCAAAAGCAGTGGATTGCCTTTTGGATTCAAAGTGGGCAAAGGCCAAGAAAGGAGAGGAAGCTTTATTTACAACCAGGGAGTCTGTGGTTGACTACTGCAACAGGTAGTGTTTATTTCTTAATGAAGGATAACATAAATAATAATTTTAAATTTTCTCTGTAGTCGTGAGGCTCCTTGCCTATTTTCATCATTAAATGTAGTGATACTACAACAAAACTCAACCTTCGCTTTCACATGTAACTGGAATTTTGGTACCTCTTGAAATGTATTTAGAATTAGACTATTACATTTTTGATTGTATATAACTTTTACTTATGTTCTGTTACTTTTTTATATTTGCCAGGCCTACTGAACTGAAGGGTCAGCAATAAAAATCATATACCAGTGCAAACAGTGAACAAAAAATTATTTCTTTTGTAGAGCAAATGGTTGGGGAGTCTTTTTTCCAAAACTTTTGCAAGGATTTCTATTAGCCCTGTAATCTCTGGTTTTTTAGTGCCTACACCATTAGCTATATAAGCCAGACACCCTTTTCTATTTTGCTTAGTGATTATTAATGTGATCTTTTAAAATTAAGGCAGCCACAGCATCTTTCTTGTGTTTTTTTTTATTTGTTTGAGGATATCAAGATGGAGTACAGGTAATTCAGCAAAATACACATTTTTCATAGTAGATATTTTTTCTTTTCTTTTTCGGGTGAGTGGTGTTCCTGAAAGACAAAATCACTTTCCTCTTAGAAAGAAGTATTTTGATTTTTCTTTCCTTTTTCTTATTTTCCTTATTACTTAATAAGCATATTTATTAATAGATATTAACTAAATTTTGTTTTCATGACACAAGTTTATAATCTGTGGGTATTTGAGATTTAGATTTTTTTGTGTGTTTGATAGGGAGATACACATTTACTAATATTTTGTTTAATGGCACTTAAAGTATCAGCCACCTGAGAATCCTCTTAAAAACTATGCTTTTACAACCTGGTTTTTTAAGGTGTCAAGTTAAAGAATTATCAAATGTTTCTTAAAATTCTTAGTTGCTAAAGACTAGAGGTCACTAATGGACCTTTTAGAAACAATAAGTCTCATTGTTGGGGCAGGAATGAGCTAATAATGGTGCAGTTGATACTTACTTGTCTTTTACAGCAGTGCGTCTAATTAGAATTACCTCCAAAGTGCAAACTTCCCTACCTACTTCAAAATAGAATTACTTTTTATGTCTGGTGTAAAAATTAAGAGATGCCACAAATGCAAAAACTGGGGCATAAACAAATTAAGTACCTTGTTCAAGGTCACACAGCTAGTAAGTGGCAGATTTACAGATTTTTTCCAAGCAGTCTGGCTTCAGTCCATGATGTTAACCACTGCACTCTACTGTGTCCTCCAACAAAATGATGATGCATTTAATGGAGCAAAAGTTAAAACTGATTCATATGCCATTATTATTATTTGGGATATTGTATCTGTGAGCCGAAATCACTAAGGAGAGCATCCAGTATTAGTCTGTATCTCTTGGCCTTTCTGGAACCTTGATACCTTGTTATGTGAAAAGCTCAAAAGACTAAGTACAGAGAATGTCCTAGAAACACAGTCACTTTTCATTGTATATGTTATTTCCATTCATGTCACATTGTTTGTGTCCTTTCTGCACTAAAAGAAAGAAGAAAAGCATAACTCTACCTAAGATCTTCGGAGCCACTTCTGATACAACTGTAGAGTCCTCATGATGGCCAGTCCTCATGGATTCTTGCCTAACCACAGACAAAACCAAAGAGACTCTTGAGTTTCATTTTCTGAAGCAGCTAGGTGGACATGAGGGAGTCTGAGAAAAGACAAAAGAAAATTGGAAAATGTAGGACAATAACAAAACATTCTCTAATGTGATCTACACCTTTTTATGGCCAATTTCACATATAAACGCTTCAACCTAGTCTCCATAAAAATGCGTCACCAACCCCCAATCCAGTAATGTCCTCCTCACTGTTGTGTGTTTGCCACACTCATTCTCTTCTCTGGTTTTTCTTTGATCTTAACCTGCCACTTACCTTGAGTGGTTTTCCCTTCTCTGTTTACCTGCCTCTCAGTGTTACAAGCATATCCCTCAAGTCCTGCCTCTACCATGTAATATTCTCCAGTTCCTCCAGCCCACAATACAAAGATTATATGAGTGTTTTCCAAGTATGATTGTTGAAGCTGGGTGATGGGCATATGGTAGTTGATTATCCTATTATTTCCTTTTATAATTGAAAATATAAAATTACAATTTTATAATTGAAAATTGTATCTGCTGAATTTATGTAGTTAGTATCATCTAGTTTGGCCCTTAACTATTTTAGAATTGTTGCATTGTTGCATATGTGTTAGTTTTTTAATCTCTTGCTAGCTAAATCTAAGAAAAATTGTAGGACTGTTTTATACTTTATTGTAACTCCATAGCAATTAGCACAATGTGGGCACTTAATAAAAACTCACCATTGCCACATAGGTGAAAGTCCCTAACGCATGTCTAGCATTCAATAAATATTTGTTAAATCGGGGGGCGAGGGGGCGGTAAGGAAAAATACAGAAGTGATTTTAAAACTTTTTACAAGGTATTTTAAAACCATTTATTTATTGAACAAATAATTTCAAGATGAAGTACAGATAATTCAGCAATATACACATTTTTCATAGGTTTTTTTTTTTTTTTTTTTTTCGTTTTTTTGCTGGTGAGTGGTGTTCCTAAAAGACAAAAATCACCTTCCTCTTAGAGAGAAGTATTTTGTTTTTTCTTTCCTTTTTCCTTATTTTACTTAATACTTACTAAGCATATTTATCATTAGATATTAACTATTATATGCCAGGCCCCAGGAATACAACAATGACTGTGACTTGATCCCTGCCTCAAAATGCATATTCTAATCTGTTAGGAAGATTTATAACTAATTACAGTATAGTGTGTTCTATAAGGAGGACATGGATGGTGAAACTATCAAAAATCACTTCACAGGAAAAATGTTTTAATCAAATTTTGAAACATAAATATGTGATTACCCAACAAAGAGGAGAAGGAATACTTATTCCAAGCAAAGGGCACAGAACACACTGAGATAGAGACGTGTGAGTAGTTCTGTGAAAATGTCAGAGCTTTGTATTAGTAATTTGTCCTGTATTATGTATTTATAGCTAAATAAATGGAGGCTCTGACTTTATTACAAAGGTTAAATAATGTCATTGTCACTCCTAGGCAAAGAATGAGTTGAAGTAGACATCCTCCAAAGACGCATCAAGGAATAAGTCAGTGATCCTACTTATTACAGAATGGAATAATACTATAATGTAATGGAACCCAAAATGTGTGTATTCCATAACTATTAAATGAAACTGAAAATTTTGCCATAGCAATAATGACTAACATTTATTGAATACACATATGCCAGGCACTAGGCTAAACAGTGTACATCTCATTTAATCTGAGAAATAACCCCTATGAGATAGATACCCCATTTTAGAAGTAAACTGAAATTAAGTAACTTAGCCAATATTGCCTGGCTAGTTAAGTGGTAGAGGTGATATTTGAACCTATATACCTAGTTGTGAAATTTTCAACACCAATTTGATTAGAAGTTAACAGTATACTGTTCTTGCATGGGGGTGGGGCAGCTGTATAGGAAGGGGGCAGTTCTGCTGATATTTGAACCTATATACCTAGTTGTGAAATTTTCAATACCAATTTGATTAGAAGTTAACAGTATACTGTTCTTGCATGGGGGTGGGGCAGCTGTATAGGAAGGGGGCAGTTCTGCTGATATTTGAACCTATATACCTAGTTGTGAAATTTTCAATACCAATTTGATTAGAAGTTAACAGTATACTGTTCTTGCATGGGGGTGGGGCAGCTGTATAGGAAGGGGGCAGTTCTGCTGGTTCTGTACCCTTCTGTATCTGCTCACCAGGGAAAAGGTTTTTTCTTCTAAAGTTCTGTGGTTTATTTTTTAATTATTTATTTCTTTATTAAGGACAATCTTTTTCCACTAAAGTAAATTTAAGAAAATTTAGAAACTTTAGAAAACTGAAAATTTAGAAAATGATATAGAAGAAAATTCAAATTATTAAAAATGTTGCTTCACAGGTAACCACATTACCATTTGAGAATATACTTCTGGTATCTGTATGTACACACATGTACTCTTAATATATGGGCATCTATAATATGAACTCTAGTATAAAATGCTGGTTTTTCGATTAATGTGATGAATAGGATGTATTTTTGTTTCATATTGAGTGGTAATTAATGTTCCTGATATAAAATCTGGAAATCACAAAAGTACATAAACAAAAAATTAGAATATATGTTCATTATAAATTATTTCAAGACATTCTGAAGTAGGGTAAGAAAATATAAAACTCTCCTTCATATCCAAATGTCTCCCCGCAGCACTACTCTTATGCCACTTTCTACTCATAAGTAATTAATGTTTCATTTCAGATTTTTGTTTGTTTACATATGTGTGTATGAGGGTACCTCAAAAAGTTCATGGAAAAATAGAATTAAAAGATAATATGAATCTTTCCATGAACCTTCTGAAAATCCCTCATTTATGGGTAGCAGATATTAGTGGTAGCATTCTGGGGGCAGTCTGAACTATTGTGTAATTATATGCTAAACAGATCTTCTGAACAAGTAGAATGGACCAAATGAGGAAACCTAGAAGTTGACTTTGAGGAGATGCTTGTGGGTTGGACCTAATTGGGCAAGAGATTGAAGCCCAGCCAGGCAGGTGAAACAGTTGCTTCAGAGGGCACAACACAAGGGTCAGAAGTGGTTCTCTGGGCAGGAAGAAAGCATCTAGTTAACAAGGGGTATGATGTGCTGAAGCAGGCACCAGAGAGGTGTAAGTAGAAAGGTAGATAGCTACCATTAGCAGGCATAGATGGTTGTAGTGAAAGCTGCATACTAGATTGTATTGTGGTAGTTGTACATTATCAAGGCAGGAATGAAGAAACAAATTAGGCACTCTGAAACTGGAACATCTAAAAGTGGCTTCTAGGTGACAAAGGTTAGGGCAGCACAGTTTCATGAGTCAGATTATAAGTTTAGAAAGGAACTAGCAGCAAAGTTGACTTAATTTGGGGTCAGCTCAGCTTCCAAACCCATCAGATTAAAAAATGAATAAAGCAAGGATTGCACTCATAAGTTTAGTGAAAAGCGAACAGATATAACAAATTCTATAGTGAGTTAGAAGATAATGCTATAAATAGGATAACAGGAAACAGTAGAGAGGCTTGAGGGTGGTGTACAGTTTTAAACAGGGTAGATTGTGGTTGATGGAAAGCTTGAAGGAAGTGAGGGAGTGAAACAAAAGTTCGTGCTTATTTGGGGGAAGATCATTCAGGTGATGAGAACAGCCAGTGTGAAAGCCCTAAGGTAAGACTGTAAAAAAAAACTGGGGAAACTAGGAATATACAGTGTTTTGCCAAATATATTGCACATTTTTTGATTTGTTATTGGAGAGGCCTTTTCAGTGTCCAGAAATCTCACTTTGTATATTTAATTGTTCATTACTTAATTGAAGATATTTCATTATAGTGGCAGACTGAGTAGTGAAGTACGTGGAGAAAAAATGACGTCGAGAAAGGCAGCTAAAAAAACATGATTTGGATCATTCAAATCATGGACACACTTTTAATCTGTTACATTTCTTAAACTGTTTATTTTCCCCTTTATTAGGTCTGCTCTTGCATTTGAGACTTAGCATTAAATGAAGCTGAGTCTTGATTATTATTATTTCTTGGTGGGGGGCAGCTGGCCAGTATGGAGATCCAAACCCTTGACCTTGGTGTTACGAGGCTGTGCTCTAACCCACTGAGCTAACTGGCCAGCCTAAGTCTTGAGTATTCTTTTTGTTTGTTTGTTTTTTGGTTTTGTTTGGTTTGGTTTTTGGTTTTTTTATTGTTGCCTGGCCTGTGTGGGCATCTGAATCTTGGACCTTGGTGTTACCAGCACCATGCTCTCCTAAGTGAGCTAACCAGCCAGCCCTTGATTATTCTTAGTGAACCTAGAGAGAAGCTTTATATGGATGATCCAAAACCTGTAATCTCTTTTAAATACAAATTATATAGTTAAAACTGAAAATTATATTGAACATTATGAGTTTTGACAACTTTTATACAATCAAATAGGCTATAAAGATTTTTGATTATAGGTGGAGTTGACTTTTTTCCATGGATTTATTAGTTGTAATTTCTCTTGTGAGCTACCAATTTATGTCTTTCTTTGCTCATTTTGTTCAGGTCTTGATATTTTGCTTTTTAGTCTATATCTGTAGAGTTGGTAGAGAATATAATGTCATACCTTTTTTCCCCAAAGGCTTTTAAAGAAACAATTTTTTCACCGGGCACTAAAAGTAATGAAAATGAAGTATGATAAAGACATAAAGAAAGAAAAAGATAAAGGAAAACCTGAAAGTGGAAAAGAAGATGATAAAAAGAGCAAGAAAGAAAATATAAAGGATGAAAAGACAAAAAAGGAAAAAGAGAAAAAAAAAGATGGTGAAAAAGAAGAATCCAAAAAGGTGAGTTTAACTAAATTAAGTAAAAATAAAAAGTCATATGCGCACATGATCACTACTGGCATATAAGCACATTTAAAATATTAGGCAACAGCAACATGAGATAACCATATTAGGGTTATTAGAAATACCATGGTTAAGAATTTTTATTTCTGTGTTACAGTCAGTGAAAATTTTCAACTATATAAGTCTCATATTGTTTTTTGCTTGTTTCTTTTAAGTGTTAATTCTTCTATTCCACTTGTGTTTTCATAGGAGGAAACTCCAGGAACTCCCAAAAAGAAGGAAACTAAGAAAAAATTCAAACTTGAGCCACATGATGATCAAGTTTTTCTGGATGGAAATGAGGTGAGAATATTTAGCCTGTAGTCAGAAATCCAGTTTTCTGGAGTTTTTAGGAATATGTTTGATGCCTTAACTAAGAAGAGTAGTTTAGATAAATCTAACCATGTACTTAAGTATATAAAAGCTACTCTATTTTAAAAAAAATCAATAATTTCTCTGAATGTAGATTTACTAAAAATTCCAAATTAGATTTGGCTATTTGTGAGTAATAATACTCACTGAAATAATGATGGCTTAGTACAAAATAGATGATTATTTCTCTCTTGTCAGTGAAATCTAGGGGTAAGCAGTACAGATATGGCAGCTCCATGGTGGAGCTCCTTCTGTCTTATCTCCTCTGTGTGAGGCTTCTAGCTAAGGTTACCTCGTGGTACAGAATGACTGCCAGCCTTATATCTGCACAAAAAGAGAAAAGGAGAGTGAGGAACATGCCGCTCTGTAAGGAGACCATCTTAAGGACACCATCCAGAAAGCAGACAATTTCATTTCTGCTTGAATTTCTGCATTTAAACATGTTACTGTATTACAGTGTGGTTAAGTGTCATGGTGTGAGAGCACCAATTAGGGATAGTTAACCTGGTCAGGAAGCATAAGGAGGGTCTGGAAATCCTGGACGGTTGAGCTGAGCCTTAAAGCATGACTGGCAGATTGCCACATGTACCAGGAAGGAGTTCTAGGTCTATTAGAAAAGGAAGCAGCCTGAGCCAAAGTGTTGGTACCTGCCATCCTGAAAAGGTTAGATTTTATTCTGTAGAAGGTAGCATGTACTCCAGAACTTTTTTTTTTTTTTTTTTCTTTTTTTAAAAAGATGACCGGTAAGGGGATCTCAACCCTGGGCTTGGTGTTGTCAACACCACGCTCAGCTAGTGAGCCAACCGGCCATCCCTATATAGGATCCGAACCCGTGGCCTTGGTGTTATCAGCACCGCACTCTCCCGAGTGAGCCACGGGCCGGCCCTACTCCAGAACTTTTAAAGTTGGGAAATGTTTTTTTTAGAACGGTAACTGGTAGAAGTAATGTTCATGAGTCTGATTCCCAGGGAAAAAAGTGCAGAATAAAATAAGGGGTTGAAGTGGAACCCCAGTGCTAGAAATAGAAGAATGAAGTCAGAAAGACAATAAAGACTTCTGGTCAATACAGAACTAGAAAATGAAAGAGTACCGTTATTTATAGATTCTAAGAGATAAAACTTAAGAGTTTTATGGATGATGATCAAGTAGAATTCAGATCTGAATGATGAAGTAAATTTCTGTTGTATGAAATAATAGCCTGATAAAAGTAAATTAAGTTTTGAAGCAGTAGTTCCTAGCTTATGGGCTACAGACCTTCCATGGAGGAGTGGGTAATAAAATTATTGCAGGGAATCATAGAATCTTTACGTTTACCAAGGATGATCTTTAATAATGGTTCTTTGTGTCTTATCAGTAGGAGAGAAAAGGGTGGAGTTGAGAGCTGCTGGATCTGTAAGAGGGCCTTGCTGGGATCTGTCTTGACTGTGCTCTTAGCCCATACTGGTTCATCATTACATTAGGGACAAAAAGGTTGACAATTGCTGGTCTTTAGGTTGAATAAATAATGGTTTGCACACAAGAATAAATTGATAAATGCATGTAAGTACATACAAATTTACTTAAGTGCATTACAGAATTTATTGTTTTCTTATAATCATTTTCTAACTGAATGGATGCCTAAAGAATCACCACTACTAAAGGAAAGGTCTTTGGAATTTGTTTACCTTAGAAAGTAGTTCTCATATGTTAAGAGGTTTGTGAGTATTTTAGAGGACCTAAAATATGTAATTAAGCTTTACTTTCTAATGTGACCTTAGTACTTTTAAGCACTGAGGTTTCTTGATTCTTTTAGGTTTATGTGTGGATCTATGACCCAGTTCACTTTAAAACATTTGTCATGGGATTAATTCTTGGTAAGTAGCAGGATGTAAGTAGCTTTAAAGTACAACCTAAAACTTAGAAAACAAAATGTAGACACAATAAGGAAAATATTTCTGAATTTAACATAAAATATTTATTATTTAAAAAAATATACTTTAGGGCCGACCCCGTGGCTCACTTGGGAGAGTGCAGCGCTGGGAGCGCAGCAGCGCTCCCGTCGCAGGTTGTATCCTATATAGGGATGGCCGGTGCGCTCACTGGCTGAGTGCAGTGCGGGCGACACCAAGCCAAGGGTTGCAATCCCCTTACCAGTCACAAAAACGCCAAAAAAAAAAAATAATATATATATATATATATGTGTGTGTGTGTGTGTATACACTTTAAATAAAGTCAGAAGATAAATGAGAAACTAAGGAAAATATTAACAACACATTAAAACAAAGATCTTTAAGAGTTTAACAACCTGGTAGAAAAGTGGTAAAGGTAGCTCACAGATAAAGAAATGCAATGACTAGTCATTATAAATGTCACTCAATCACACTAATAATAAATACAAATTAAAGCAACAATTATTAAGAGGATTACAAAGTTTCACAGTGAAGGTCTTAGAAAAAGTCAGTACTCTCCAACAATTGATGGGTATGCCCATTGTTTTAGTTTTTATGGAGTACTGTTTGGCAATATCCTTCAATTTTTAAATGCATATACACTGACCCAGCAATTCTACTTCTAGAAATTTATCCCATGGCTGTTCTCATACGGTTGTTACAAAGTGTGCGCATTGACACATGATCTATTTTAATTCACATCCTTCTGACTATATTTAAAAGGTAATCTAGGGCCGGCCCGGTGGCGCACTGGAGAGTGCGCCACTTGGGAACGCGGTGGCACTCCCGCCGAGGGTTTGGATCCCATGTGGAGACCGGTTCCCGCTCACTGGCTGAGCGCAGTGCGAGCGCAACACCGAGGGTTGCGATCCCGTTACCAGTCAGTAAAAAAAAGATAAAAAGGAAAAAAATAAAAATAAAAAAATAAAAGGTAATCTAGCAGATATCTTTCAAATTTTAAATGCCTATACCTTTTGACCTAATAATTCCACTTCAAGGAATGTATCCTATGCTGTAATCACAATTGCACAATTGTACATGTACAAGGGTATTTTCACTATTGTCTGTTTTCAGTATAAAACTAGAAGCAATTCAAGTCCCTCAATAAGAAAATGGTGAAATAAATTACAGTACAGCTACACAATAGAACACCATGCATCTTTTAAAGAATTAGGTTGTACTGATGGAAAGATACCTAGAATAGAGTAAATGAGAAAAGAAAGTTGCAAAAGAGTAAGAATAGAATAAGCTCATTTATTTAGAAAACAAAATTTTTTGTAGCTAGTTTTAATTATATATAGGCAGTCTTTGGGAATACAAATAAGTTTAACAGTAGTTAACCTGTAGGGATTAGAGCAAGAATTGGATAAAGATTTAATCTTTACTATACTTTTTGATTTGTTTTTGAGTTGGGTTTTTAACATGGGTATGTATTCCTGTAAGTTCAGGGCAGGGATGGGGAAAGAATGATTTAACAAATTAAAAAAAATAGTAGTTAAAATAAGCTTTGTCAATATGATATCATAAGATCCTATTCAAAATAACTCTTTTATAATAGTTGAAACTCAATTAAACCCAACCCAAATAGCTGATAGCTATTAATTACTTAAACTGTACTAGTTACTTTGCTGAATATTTTACATACAATGTTTCATTTTATCCTACAACACCCTTTAAAAAATAGGAAACAGGTACTTATTAAATATAACAAAACAGCCTCAAAAGGGTTAAGTAACTTGCCCAAGGTTACTTAGCTTATAAGTTGATAGAGCTAGAATTTGAATCCTGGTTTTATTCTAAAGACCTAATAACCAGGCTTCTAATTTCTTATAATTCTTTCACATAGCCCCACTTTAAAATGCAAAAAAAACTGGAGAAGCTTGTATAGTTTCTCTAATTACCAAAAAAACATCTGTAGCAGAATCACCCAGGGAACTTTTTCAGTCAGTGGATATCAGAACTCTACCCCAGAATCAGAATCTCCAGATAGGGTCTTTGGAATAATTTTTTTGTTAGGTTTGTTGTTTTGTTGCTTCTTTAAGCTCTACCACTCATTAGATATATTAATATTCAAAAATAAGGTAGACATAGCTTAGAAACAGCAGCAGGTGATTATTTAAGGCGCTAACATTCTAGACAGCACTTTTTTCTAGTTATATGTAATTTATACTAGAACAACATAAAATGTTAGGTTGAACAATATGAAATTGCTTATAATTTACCATTTTTTACCTGTAGAAATAGCAGTTTTATGTTTCAATAAGTTTATGTTTTATAGTTTTCGCCCCCTAGGAATATGTTCACTGTTATTGCAAACAAGCATTTAAATTTTTATTTTGAAAGTATCAATGTAACTTTGTCATTTTTTTGTTCCAGTGATTGCAGTGATAGCAGCCACCCTGTTCCCTCTTTGGCCAGCAGAAATGAGAGTAGGTGTTTATTACCTCAGTGTGGGCGCAGGCTGTTTTGTAGCCAGTATTCTTCTCCTTGCTGTTGGTAAGTATTATTAGTAAAACTGACCTCAGTAAGGTAGGTACTGAGCACTTGGACTATTATCTGGAGCTCCAGTAAAGCATAAGCAAAATTAATGTAGGTAAATAAAGAAGTATATGGTCCTATTTTCTCTGTCAAATTCCAAAATTTGGAACTCAGACTGATTAGATTTGGTCTAATGCAAAGAAAAAGCACTTCATATTACTTTTTTAAATTAATTTTTTATTATTATGTTTGATTGACAGATCATAATTGTATACATTCATGGGGTACATTGTGATGTTTTGGTATATGTGTACAATGTAGAATGATTAAATCAAGCTAAATGATATATCTATCACCTAACTTACCTATCATTTTTATGGTGAGATATTTAAAATTTACTCTTAGTTACTTTTAAGAATACCATACATCATTATATCTTAATCTGCAAGTAGATGTGCTTTAAAAATTAGCTACAAAGGACTTTAATACTTTTGCAGTGGTTGATCATTTATTAGACAATATTTTCAATAAAACATTTTTATGTTTTGACTTAAGGCAAATGTAACACTAAATATGCAAATTTTATGCATGTATTAAATTAATGGTTCTAAACAATAGATTTGCCATTTTGGGGAAAATCAGTGATTGCACTCAGGTAACAATAAATTCTAGATACAGTAAGGAATTAAATGTTTTAAAAGTCAAACAGGAAAACATAAGTGAATGAGTATTTTTAAATTTCTGGATGATTGGGGTCTTTCATAGCTAAAAAGCAATGTAAAAATAACAATAAAGGCTAATAGATCTGAATCATATTGAAGTTTAAAAAAACCTTTTCATGTCAAATCAACCAGATTAAAAACAAACAACAAACTGACAGGACAGGCGGAAGATTAAAATTCCCATTTACTCATACCAATTGATAAGAGGACCCAAATATTAAATGGAAAAGGACGTGAACACCCTTTCATCCTTTAATAGAGGGAATAAAAAACAAATAACTAACAAATATATGAAAATGCTCATCACTAGTAATAAAACAATAAAATCAAGATGAGCTAATTTTTTTGCCTATTAGTAAGTTTTTTTTAAAATAAAAAACTATACACATTTATCCACATACAGCAAGGAAGACTTTTTTGAAAATGGTAATATTCAAACATCAGGGAAGATTTAACTGGAAGGAAATACACCCAAATGTGATAGTTGTGATTTTAATTTTTTTATTTACACTCGTCTATATTTTTCCACAGCAAGCATGTTACTTAGTCAGCAATAGAACCAACAAATATTATTTTACTTAAAATCCTAATCTTTGAAGATTTTTACATATAGATTGAGCAGCTCTGATTTTTCACCTTGGGAAAGATACATGAATTTTTTTCAGCTTGTCCAAAGTGATCTAGTGATTTTTTAATTATATAGAATTCCTTGATCCATCTAGAATTTATGTTGGCATATGGTATGAAGTTCTGATTATTGCCCCAAATGACAAACCAACTTTTCCACCAAGACAATAGGAATACTTCTTTGTAAAAGAAAACAGCAGCACCCACATTATTAACCTAATATTTGTTATTAAAAGACAAAATTTGACTAAGTTTATATGAACTGTGTACGTTACTCCTACCACCCTAAGCAATTTCCTTTTGTATATCCCTTCACACTGGCCATCCATGGACCCAAAACCTCATCCAGTATCTTCCTTCAATCCATCACTTTTATGGGCCTTCTATTTTCTCTGTGATCTTTGACTCTCAGTGAGGCCTTCTCCACCCACCTTTCATTTTTTTATTCCTCTAGCTTAATCACTTTGAGAAAATCCGCTGCTGCTTCTGCATGTTATACAAGCACATTTGTAAGCCAAGAAATAATATTTAAGCCTTTTAAGCAGATAAATAGTGTTAATGTAATCCTGCATCTAGAAGGAGAAAAGCTATAAACTTTGATCTGACATTAGGTATAATAAAATTGATGCCTTAAGGCTCTCATACCCCTGAAATTTAGAAGCTCTTTGAAAACTTTCAGCAGAGGTTTCACTCCACTGTGTAGAATTTGTTCCACTTGCTTATCTTTTAATTAAACCAGTATTCATAATAATTTATGGTTATTATACTGTTTTGCTCTTTAAAAATTTTTCTTCAGTAGTATTTTTTATAATTTTCCATTTTAAATATGCAGTGGATTTAAATATGCATTATGTATCATATAGTCTTTTGAATTAAGCCAGGATACAAACCCAGCATTTTATGTTGATTCTGTTAGAAATGCAATTCCAAATATACTTTTCAATAGTTTTGATTTGTAGCCCACTTATAAATTGGATATTTCTTTTGTTTTATCCTAAGAAGTATTATATGTTGGTCAGAATTATATTTGGTGTTACTTTGAATATGCATTGTTAATATTGCCACTTAAAGTAAGTCTTTAGCAATTTTTTAAAATGTGTCAATTTTAATATAGGAACAGTCTGACAGTATGTGTCACAGTTTTTTCATCATTCTTCCCTTTTTGCTCCTGGTAATCTAATGCCACATAGAGAAAAACTGTAAAGCATGTTAGAATTCTGCTATGCCCAGTTTATATGTGGTAAGAAATTGGTTTTATTTGTGCCATTTCTATATTGCTTTTTCTTAGATTTGATAAAAGATTTCATGTTGTGAACCATCTATCTTACAGCTCTATGAAAGCTATCATAGCATCATAATTGTATTGGGAGAGAGAAAAAAATGTGCAGCCTCCTTAAAAGTTCATTATCTTCTTTATCAGTAGAATTTATTCTTAAATCATAATCTCAAACATATTTACCTTTTCTCTTTGTATCACAAAAGATTGTAATGTATACAGGACTCTTTCAGAATATTTATATTATTGTGAAAATAAAAATAGCTATTTTCAAGGCATCTGTATAACCTCTTACTTTTATTTATCCAAAGCAAAATAATGGAAGAAGCATAGATGAGCTTTTTTCAGTCTTTATACAAGAGTATTTCTAAAAGTTCATGGAAAAATAGAATTAAAAGATAATATGAATTTATGAAAACAGTGATAATTGTCTGTAAAGAAAACAAAACCAAAAATCCTGTTAAAATTGGCTAGTCTATAACATTCAGATAATCGTTATGACGTTTTGTAAAAAAGCAATAATCACTCAGCTCTATATTGTTAAATTAAGAAAAAAATAATATAAAATAGTGGGGTTTGTGATGACTCATTACCACAAATTTTAAAATTTAAATTTCATTTCCCACAGTTTTGTCATAATGTATTATTCTGAAAGAGTAAGCTAATAAACCTTAGGTGTTCAGGCGATCTTGCTTTCATTAGCATTGTATTATTTCCTAATATTGAGAGGATTGATCCCTAAAAAAGCAGAAATTATATAATTTACCTAATTAATAAAACAAAAAGGATTAGAAGATGGAACTTTCTAATACTCGGATTTTTTATCCATGGCTGACCCATCCTTTAGGCAGAGTAGGCACATGCCTCAGACTCATGATACATTTAGGGGCCAACAGAAATATTTTCATTTTCATTTCTTTTAAAATCAATAAGTAGTAGCATACATATATGTATATATGAGGGATCTTTTAAAAGTTCATGTAAAAAATTCAGACATCTTTTAATTCTATTTTTCCACAAGCTTTTCAAAGTACCCTCATACTAGTAAACTTATGCAGTATTATATGTGCATTTATACCAGTACAGTTATAAATATATATATATAGTATAAAATATAGTTTTTAGTATTTCTTTATGGAAGAAGTGCCCTACAAAGGCAAAAGTACTACAGCCTAGGAAAGTCATGATGCAGCCCTGCTTTTGTCTTTTTAAAGGCTTCTTTCTTAAGATACCCTTCTTCCCCTACTCATCTTTTTCTTTTCTTACACCATGATTTTATGAATACTTAAACTTCCAACTGACTGCTATGTTTATTGAAGTATAAACATCACAAAGTGCATAAATCATAAGTGTATAGCCATGAAACAGCACCTAGATGAATAAAAACATAGAAGTAATTTTTTGAGAGTGGCATTATAGCATTGTGCCCTCAAGTTGAGAGCAAAGTGCTCTGCCTGTGGAATACTGTGATAGCTGCTAAACTAGTCAGGATTTAAGTATTCATATTTAAGGAGCATGAAATGTGCAAATAATAAAACTAAATGTTTTCCCAGCTTTTTAACAATATTCCCTGCTATCAGGGTCAATGCGTAAATTACTCAATTGGAGAAATTTTTCTCCCCACAGCTCGTTGCATTTTATTTCTCATCATTTGGCTTATAACTGGAGGAAGGCACCACTTTTGGTTCTTGCCAAATCTGACTGCTGACGTGGGCTTCATTGACTCCTTCAGGCCTCTGTACACACATGAATACAAAGGACCAAAAGCAGACTTAAAGAAAGATGAGAAATCGGAAACCAAAAAGCAGCAGAAGTCCGACAGTGAGGAAAAGTCAGACAGTGAGAAAAAGGAAGACGATGAGGGAAAAGTAGGACCAGGAAATCATGGGACAGAAGGCTCAGGTGGAGAACGGCATTCAGACACAGACAGTGACAGGAGGGAAGACGACCGATCCCAACACAGTAGTGGAAATGGGAATGATTTTGAAATGATCACAAAAGAGGAACTGGAACAGCAAACAGATGGGGATTGTGAAGAAGAAGAAGACAATGATGAAGAAACACCTAAATCTTCACATGAAAAATCATAATCTGACTAATTTGGGGACTGAATAAGTACAAGAGATTGCGGTTGGATTTTCTATGTTGGCCAATCATCATAATGTACACATGGCATTTGTAGCATTCTTTAAATCTATTTACTGAAATGTATTTGATATCCAAGCAATTATATTCAGTTCTTCATTTTATAGAATACTGGTACTATTATTGGTACAGTTTAAAGCCATTGATAAGTTTTATCCATTTGATAATTTTACAGTAAGTAGGTCCCATTCATTTTGATAGTTATCAAAGATGCACTTTACACAATGTGACATCTAGATTAACAGCATTTTTGATAATTTTATGGCTTTTTACTTTTAGACTAATCAAAATAACTTTGAAAGGAATAAGGAAACTCCAGTATTTCAGATTTTGTGTAGTTATGTAGCCATTTCACAGTTTCTTTAAGATGAAATTCTTAAACTCATTGTTCTTGATAGTTACTTTTGTTTTTCATTGTAAAATTATACCAGGAAATTTCTTTTAAGATTCTGAGTTAGCAGGGTTCAAAAGCATTTTGTGGAAACAAGCCAACTAGTAACAATGCAGCAACACTTTTAGTTTAGCTACAAATTCTCCTTTTCCAACTTAGGAAATCCAAACTGATTTATACATCTGATTTACAGGAAAATGGTCATCTCCAGCAGAGAAAGTGAACAGTGTTGGTTGGAAGGCAATGGCTCTTTCTTCTTCTCCATTTCCTTGTCATAACGTAAAGTGTATTCTGTACATAATTTACAAATAAAATGAACATTTTATTTTAATTGTTACTTATTATTTAGACATTTCTCAACACTTAAATTTGTAAAATTCAGACCATGTAAGGGTATGTTTTTAGAGAAATGATGGAAGTTTCAATAACCCACAGGACATCTGTGATCTTTCTACAGCAGCTTCAGTTTTGTGCCAACATTCCGTGTATTTGAATATAAGTAAAAACTGATCCTTATTAAATAAGAGCAGACTTAAAGTAGCTGTTTGTACGCCTTAATATTCATTTTGATTTATTTTAAATCTTCACATTCAGAGATGGGTTGCCATATTATCAGAACAGGAGACACTGCTGTGGAAGATAATTTACTGTTCTAAAATATCAATTTAAAATAAAGAATATGAAAGAAAACGTAAGAGAAACATCGGACTCTGCTTTGAACTAGTTCTGCAGTTTGATTTTATGTCTTGTATACCTTAGTTACACATCTTTTGGAAAAATCTTGTTATAAGCATTATCATTCCTTGGAGTTATACTCTTACAGACTGATAATGAACATTAAATGATTTTCCTTCAGTCACAGTGAGAGCATTTTGCTTTGCAGTTGAAATAGGTGGTGTATATAGATCTTTTTTCTTTTTTTTAAGGCTGTTTCCCACTCATCTAAGTGTTTGACTAAAGATGTTAAATTTTTCTCATAGTGAAAAAACACATTTCTGTATATTGACATATTTTATTAAACATGGCTTGATTGCTTCTTTGTAGTGTTCCCTAAGTGGACAGATACGTGGTTGTTTGATGTTAATGCAACTTTATCAAGGCTGCATTTTTAAGAGTTTCCTCCTAGCAAATATTCATTGATTTAAGTGCCTGGGTATTTTCCCCTCAAATTTGTAGAGATCTACTGCTTTATGTCCACAGTAAGGTTATGTGTTGTTATAGCTTCTTAGCTACTTAATCACCAGTAACATTAATAGCTGTTTTGGGATATGAAAAGAGGTATTTTTCAAAAACAAAAATGTAGTTAACCTTTACTACTGTGGTAATACCCAGGCACTCAATATTTATTCCAAAGTTCTTTATAATATATATACTGTGTCTAAAAGACATTTGGAGCATGTTAGACAAGAAAGTTAGCTTTTTACTGAAGTGTGGTGTACTCTTGCAGAATGTTAGTAAAAATTTTTATAAATATTTTGTGATCCCTGGGGGGAAATGTCATCCTTACTATGGTTAGGAAGTGAGTTAGAAATTTCAGCTCAGTGTCTATGTTACTATTCAAGGTTGTGTACTCTAAACAAAGATAAAAATCAAAAGACTGTCTACTACAGTCCCCGGAAGAATAGATGGGTGTCTTTGTTGGCTAACATTTAATATTCTTGTGCCAGAGCATGGAGAATTGTTCATAATAGTTAATAGAATGGTGATTTAAAAAAAAAATAAAGAACTTCAGATTTGCTATGCCACTGTAAGCAGAAGCATAAATCTTTTGGATAATGTAGGCTTTATTGGAGAGTAGATATAAATTGGCCTAACTAAGCAGAATTGAATTAACCAGAGGCTAAGTCCATATAGTAAGAATAGTGCATATGTGATTGTTCTTAAAGTCAGTGTATTAAATAGGGTGTTTTTCCTTTTCCCTCCCACTGAATTTATTTTATTTTATTTATTTATTGGCAGCTAGCTGGTACAGGGATTGAACCTTGGACCTTGGTATTATCAGCACCATGCTCTAACCAACTGAGCTAACAGGCCAGCCCTGAATTCTTTAATTTTCAAATTATAAAGCCTTCTAGACAACTGATTGAAATAATTTAGGTTTAGTTGAGTAGTATTCTAAAAGTAATATATGTTAATATATCACATTACAGTTATACAGTGGTGATGAATTTTGGTGTTTTCCCCCCTCTTTCTGGTTTTACATCATGAGTACCAATTAGCTGCTTACTAGAAAAATCATGTCGTATCTTTCGTAAATTGAATTTTTAAAATCATTATTAACTGGAAAATAGCAATTACACTTGATTCTCATTATTCAAAGTAGTTATTTTCTATAAAGTCACTGCAAACACTGAATTAGCAAATGCTGAACCATTGCTCCTAGGAGAAATGCAGAACTGCGTTTCTGCAAGCCTTTGCTGACAACGTTTTCATTACCCCATTTAATACATAAACTTGTTTTAGGTGTATTTCTGTTTTAAAGACACAGTATTTACTATATATTATTGATTGATTAACACTGAACTAACTAACAGCACTATAACTCATGCCTGAATTAAGCTTATCTAAAACATATTTTTCTCCATAAGGGACATCACAGCCTTTTTGCACATAAGAACACTAGACAGCACTTCAGCACTATACTTGCTGGCCATCTTAAACAGTGAAATCCCCAACAAAAAGCACAAAAATCTAAAACACGTGGCATTAAATAGAGCAAAAAGGACACTTGTTTACAGTATGAGAGCTGGAACAAGAAGGCCTTGTTCAACCTCAGCCAAGAATATGTGCATTGGGCAAGTCAAATACTTCACTGCTCTGCACATGGCTGCAAAAGCACTGTAAAAATTTTAGATTAGGTAAATTCACAAATACAGAATCCACAAATAATGAGGATTGACTGTACTTAACTATAAAGCTGTGATGTTTATCTAACCTGATCTACAGAATAGAATTTATTGCTGAATGCCCCAGCATTTGAGTAATTTTAAACGTCCATTCTGTCTGAAAGTAAATAGTTCCTAATTGTTGTGTAGTAGATAATTTGCTTTTACTGTTTCAGCAATATTTCAGATCTTTGTTCATTCATTCAGTAAGACTGAGCACTTACCATGTACCAGAATTTTACTAGGCACAGTTATGAATAAAAATGCAATTCTGCCCTCCTGGACTGACAAATAGTGTGATAAGTGTTATGGCAGCGATTTGAAGATGTGCTGGATATTTACCTCTCCAGCTCCACTCTGCTGGTTGACGTGAATGGACCAAAACAAGGGGCTTCTATGCCTTCTGGTTTCTGGGTGGGTTTGGCCAAGAAGTGTCCTGGCCAGAGATCTGAAGACTGTCGGGGTGTCTGTTCTCTTGGCTCTTCCCCCAGGGGGTGCTGCCTCAGCAAAAGTCACTACTTCTCCCAGACTTCCCTCAACCACTCTCTACTAAGTAGCCATTTCCCACACTGTTTGCTTCTGGCCAAGGATGATGTCAGTTCTGGGACTACTAGCCTAGATTTGCTGACTCTACTATTCTTCCTCTGTGGGTCCCTTATACCCACACTTTTGTATAGTATCTCCTCAAAATGTCTTAATTTAAGAACCATCTATTTCCTTTTAGAACCAAGACCAAGGAGAAATTCCCAGGAAACAAAAAATCTGATGAGGAGTTTATCTCTTTGTCAGATCCTTGCCACTAAACATTACTGGAAAGGATCCCACAACATTACACAGTATGCCCTAAGAGTTTTGATAAGTAAAATCCTGTTCTAGTGGATATATATGCAAATAGCTACACAAAGAAATGAATTTAAATTTGCCTTCTTTAGCAAGCCCTAAAACCAATGTCTGCAGCATTTGGTTATGAATTTTTGTGTAGGTCCAAATGCATTTACTCCACTTTTTCAACATAGCCCAGATGCACTATCAAACTAATTACTTGGCTTTTCCATCCTGAGTTAGGACATCTTTTCTTAGGTTTTTTATCCAGAAAGCCTGTGATTTCTATTCTTAGCATGACATTAGAAAGAGAGGGCAGGATAGGTTAGGTTTCTGTGAGGTCAAATCATTACACTTTAGTTTCATTTCATTTTCAGTGAATGCCCAGATTACTTCAACTTTTTTGTGCCATGGATCCCTTTTCAGAATAATGTTTTTAAGCACAGAAAATGAAATGGATGGGATTAAAAAGGAAACCAATTACATTAAAGTATAAGTTATCAAAGTATGTTAATTTATGATACAGTAGTATATGGCTGCATTTAATAGCCAGATCTAGGAGGGAAGTCATAACTGCTATGATGTTGAAGTAGCATAAACAATATATTGAGATCTCTGCAACAACTGTAATGTGATATGAAAATATCTGATTTCTAATGTTGACAAAGTCACAGTTAATGTAACTGGATTATTGTCTTCATTTATAACTGAAATACTACATTTCAGATATAGTCTAGTGAAAATAAAGTAAATTTTTTCCTATCCAAGTTCATGTATCCTCTGAATTCTGTCCCCAAATCCCTTAGAGGTCTGCGTATTCCAGGTTAAGAACCCCTGACCTAGCTAATCAGATTCACCAGTGTTTCAAAGAGTACTATAACATCATATCAAGGACAAATGATACTTAATTTAGCATTTATGTTATTCACATCTTAGGTCCACTTCATTAGCACAAATTTAGTAAGCTACATGACTTGTGCGAGGCTTTGTTGAAGATAGAGTATATCTCACTCCTAAGTTAAAAGTCAAGATTATATCTTACTCCTAAATAGTCAAGATTTTCTGTAGCAACTTTTTAGATGAAGAAGCAGGGCAGGATCTTACCCATACTGAGATTATCTTTCAGTCATTAAACACACATTTGTGGAGTGATTACTATGTGCCAAGCATTGTGCAGTACAATGCCAGGGAGCTAGTGAGAGAGACAAGTGTGCATCCAAACAGTTGAAACAGTGTTGTGCGATGCCAAGAGTATCTATGACATGCTTATGGGATCACATAAATGAGCCACCCAGCCCAGACTGGGAAAGTAGGAAAGGCATCTTGTAGAAGTATCATGAGCTACATCTTGAAGGATGAGTTGGCATTAGTCAGGTAAAGAACAGAGGAAGGCTATTCTGGGATAGAGGGTGACCGGCCTCAAGGAAGAGCAGCCAGTCCAAGCCAGGCCAATCAAAGTCCTCTCCCATCATCAGGGATCTTGAGTTCAAAGAACCAAGTGGGCCTGAAGATACCAATGGCTGTGTCGCCTCCACATGGACAAAGCCAGTCTAGAAATAAAACCGACATGAGAAAAGGAGAACCAGGGGATGGATTGGGAAGACAAGGCCCTTAATGTCTTAACATCTGAGACAATATCAAACAAGCATGCCATTTATATTTTAAATATCTTGTTTTTATCATGGCTAAAGTTAAACCTACTTAAAGTCCATCGGGATGCTCATTTTGTTTATTCCCACCTGCCACATTACAAAGAGGAAGCAACACAAGACGTTTCATGCGGCTGAGAACAATTCCGTTTCCTTCCTGTTGGCTGTTTTTTCTTGGCACAACACATGATTATGGGAACTGTTTTTATTTCAAACAGGTTTGTACTATAGAGCTCAGTCCCTCCTGTAGCAATGTAAGATCCCCCTACAGATCAAGGCAGCCTGGACTTACACAGTTAAAGAGTGTGGTGTGCTTTAATGCTGTGCACCGTGCACAACCAACCC